CCTCCCGAGCACGAGCGTTGTCACCGGTACCAACGCTCTGTTGCTGTTCTCAGCATCGTTTTGCTGCGTTCGTTTTCTTTGCAGGTCATTTTTAAGCCTTGGGGCACGTTGTGTCCTGTCCCAAAGCGGTGCAATAACACGATTGAAGCGCTGTCCTCACACCTCTTTCCTTCTCCATCCGGTGGCTCTCAAGAAGAACTTGGTGTTTGGGAGCGTAAGGGTTGACAGCAGCCGGATGAAGACAGAGGCTTGGGTGAACTGCACCCTGCTTCCTGTGCTTTACTGAGAGCTAGAAGTGATGCTGCAGCCCGGGATGTCCTGGAGGATTGTGCCACATCCATTGCAACGGTCTCCCCTTCCTCCTGTAGGGTCGGCGGTGGGGCTGGTGCATGGAGTCCCATGCAGGAGAGGGGCTGCTGCGCGGGGCTGGCAGCCTCAGCACCGAGCACCGTGGCTGGGAAGCAGTGGTCGGATGGAAGAGCCTTACATGTGCCTGCTGAAGGGGACCTGTGAGCTGCTGTGGATGTCGGGAGCAGCCTGGCCACAGTGGCAGGGACACCGTGGTGTGGGCATAGGGGGGTTTGGACCTCACGGCTGTGTCATTCCCAAGCCAAACCTCTTTGTACCTGTCACGGACACAATTGCATCTGCAGCATCCAGAGATGGGATAATCCCTTTCTTCTTTCCTCTTGCAGAGATCCATGATGGAGGAGATCTCCGAGGAGCCTCCCACTTCTGCTGTCATCTTGGACAGCTGCCACTTCTCCCAGGTCATCTTTAACAACGTGAAGAAGTTTTATGTTCCTGGAGGAGATATAACCTGTTATTACACCCTCTCAGAGAACGTCGTTCCTCGGGGGAAGGACTGGGTGGGCATCTTCCGGGTAAGTGGATCCTGTGAAACCAGATGTGCCAAGGATGAGAAAGCAGCAGGAGGCAGAAACAAACAGCTCAGGCTTTGATGGAACTGGGTTGGGGGATTTTTTCTCACTAATAACCTTGTGTAATGGAACATCTTTACTGTGCTTAGGGACGAAGGGCCAGCCCTGCTGTGACCTGAACAGCTTCAAGGTTAGATGATCTCTAAGGCCCCTTCCAAACCTAACCATTCCATGGCTCTGTAATTTAGCCTTTCATGCACAGGCCATAACTCTTGGAAGTCAGGATATCAGTGCAAAAGTCCTGCCAGTAACTGATCTATGTGACAATGCAGTCCCATTACCACAGGAGAAACACAAACGGTGTGATGCCATATAACACTTTTGCTGTTGCAGGTGGGATGGAAAACGACCCAGGAGTATTACACATTCATGTGGGCTCCTCTGCCCAGTGTCGCCCACAGGGACACCGCTGTGAAGCAGCAGATCCAGTTCAAAGGTGAGGTGGCAGCGTGGGGCACTCAGGGAAGGTGTGTGCTCGTGGATTCCCACTTTGCTGCCTCTTCTAAGCTCCATTTGGAATTGCAGCCTATCTGTAGGGCCACCCTTTGGGAGGCTTATTTCAAATCCCATCATACATCACCACATCTAAAGCCTGCTACATTCTGCCATCCTGAGTGATGTTTGTGTTCTTAGCGCTGGCACAAGGAATTACTGACAGTGCTCTGACAGTACTTCACTGGTGCTAAATCCTCACCCGGGGTGGCTCAGTCTCCTGAGGGATTCACTTTCTCTGCTGTGTAGCTGGAGAGACTTGAATAATTAGATGGGGTGGTTCTCTTTGTAGCTTGCTACCTACCACAAGATGATGAATACTATCAGTTCTGCTACGTCGACCAGGACGGCCTGGTCCGGGGAGCCAGTGTGCCTTTCCAGGTCAGAGCAGAGACTGAGGAGGACATCCTGGTGGTTGCCACACAGGTCAGTATCACCCATTCCCCTGCATTTTACTGCCTCCGCTTTTATTAGCGTACACTCCCTGATAATGTGGAGAGATGTGCTGACTCAGCAGACTTGGATTCTATTCTTGGCTTCGCTACTGATCCGTCACGCTGATGTGAGAGGCCTTTATTTCTCTGCCTGCCATTTCTCGCGTAGATTGTGAGCATTTTGTAACAGGGAGTGACTTTATATATAGTGGTTTAAGGCATTTGGACTGATTTTCCAAGGAAAACATCGTTTTCATGGAAACAGCCTGCCATTAGGTGGGAGTAAGAGCATGCACAAGGGCAGTGGCTGAGGTGCTGCATAGCCAAGCACTCTGATTCTGCAGCCCTGTGTGCAGCACTGTTAATGACTACGCTGCACATGTGGTGCTAATCTAACAAACTGCAGAAAGCCCCAAAGCTCTGCCTTTGCTGGCTGCTGCAGGCACAGAAGACATTGAGCATCTCCAGAGATCAGGGGCAGAATGTGCTTAGTATTCAAAACTGAGGCTGATGGTAGCTTTGGGCAGGCTGGGAGAGTGAAGCAGCCATCTGGTCTGCACTGGTAGTGGAGGCACAAGGAGCTACACAGTGTTCCCTTTTGCAGAGCTCATCTTTCTGTGCTCTTTGCACTGTGCTCTGGGGTTTTGTGGTGCTGCTGTGATGACCCAACAGCTTTGTTGCTTGCCAGGGAGAAGTGGAAAAGGTTGAACTCCAAAACCAAAACCTGCATAAGCAAAATGAGAAGCTGAAAGCAAACTGTGCAAGTCTCCAGAAAGAGAACAGCCACCTGCAGGAAGAGCTCAGGAAGACACAGGTAACTAAAAAAGTTAATGCACTAAGTCAGAAGCTTTAAGTCCGGAAGATGAAGAGGGATTGAGTCGGCTCTTGTTCCACCATATGCTTCCAGGAGAAAATTAGCGAGGTTTCTCCCCTGTTTTCTGTTTAATCCTTTACCACTCCACTGTGGTAAGACAATAATGATGAACAGGAGACATCTTCAGACACAGGAGGCAAGAACATATGGGAAAGGGGGTTCAAAAATGATTTGTAGGCTGTCCTGAATCACATCATCGTTATCTTTTCCCCCTTCAGTTTTGCTCAGGGTTTAAATCAAACAGGCTCTGAAAGAGCAGTCAGGATGCAGAGGAGAGATTCTCCTTTTGGAGGTCACTTCACGTGTTGTTATGAACATACAGAGCACGAGCAGTGCCATGGAGGTATCCTGGGTGACTCCCGTGGGAAGTGAAGTGTTGTTTGTTGGTAACAAAGGCAGCGTGAGGCAGGTCGTCTGCGGCAGCTCCAGTGCTTGGAGCTCCCATCACTTCAGTTGCCACTTTCCCATGAGTTACCAACTAACGCTTTTCCTTCGTAGCAACAAAACCAGAACTTACTGAAAGAACTGGAGGAGCAGAAGCATTTGTTTCAGATCCTGCAGGAAAAAAAGAAGGAAGCTGATGAGGAAAATCGGGTGAGAATTTGGCACAACTCCCTCGCTTTTCCCCTGTCATGAGTGTGACAGTAACCTCTCAGTCTAGAGCTCAGCTCCATTAACCCCTCTACCAAACAGGCAGGGACACCTTCCACTAGAGCAGGTTGCTCCAAGCCCCTGTGTCCAACCTGGCCTTGAACACTGCCAGGGATGGGGCAGCCACAGCTGCTCTGGGCACCCTGTGCCAGCGCCTCAGCACCCTCATCCAGTCTAAGCAGTGACTGCTCAGTTGTGTTCCTTACTCTGCATGATTTCAGGATAGTCTTCTGTTGTTTAAAGTGTGTTACTCTGCTGGGATCATCTTACCTGCCTTTCCAAGCAGGCCACAGGATAGATCTTTGCTCTTTCTTACCTCACTTGCCCGTTTGGTCAAGCAGGACTAACACTGAGCTGTCTAAAAGGAGTTCAGAGCAAGTTTGATACTGATACAGAGGATCTGTGTTAGTGCAAAGTGTGATTTTGCTCTGAGGTGGTGTCCTGAGCTTCTGGAAACTCATTCTGTGCTTTTGTCCCTTTGCAGCAACTAAGGGAAAAGAATGGCAGACTCCTGAGGTGTCTCTCGCAGGAGAAGGAAGCTTCTTCCATCTCTGTTGTTTCCCAAGCTCCTAAAGAAGGAGTCCTTCTGTTTGGAAATCCATATCGTGGTGAGATTACTTGGCATTCTGTCTGGAACCGCAGATACACAGCACTTAAAGCCTGAAGCCAATTATCCTCCCTCTCCAATTGAATGCTGTAGAAAAGCCATTATTAGCAGCACCTCTGTGCAGCTTTGCATGTGTGCAGATGACTTGGCAGCTGCAAAATGCTGCCAGGTGTTAAGAGCTGACTTTTAAGTGATCATCTGTCTCTTCATTTGCTGCCAAGAGAGACAACTATTAGCTAGTTTATTCAGCTGTGAGACAGCTAGTTCTGTGGCTTATGTCCAGCTTCCATAGCCCTAAATATGGGGTAGATCCAGAGCCACATCCTCATGTTTCAGGAATTACTAGTTACCAGCATATTACGTTGTTAATCACTTTGCTGTGGCTTCTTTTTCCAGCTGCAGGAGCAAACCTGGAGGCAGGAGCTGCAGACATAGTAAGTAAAGTGGACACAGCTGGACGTGGACTAGTGGTTTATGGACACAAATTAGTGGTTTGAAATACGAACCTCCAAGTTCAGCTCTAATCAGTTGTCTCCTTCCTGGTTTAGTCCTGGTAAGAGAGCAGACAGCAAAATGGAGCCACATGTGCTTAACGTGTAAAATTAATAACACAGAATTACGTGTAGTAAGGAAGAGAAAGGAAACTGTTGATCTGAATCTTTAAGGATCAGCTCTGGCAGTATCTGATGTCGGAATGAGCAGCAGGCAGCTGCTGAACACCTTATTTCCTATTGGAAACATGGGCTCGTGCAGTGTAGGATGGAAAGTCAGAGCCCCTCTTAGAAGCTCTTGACTTTTAAGTGCTGTTTAGAGAAACCTGGAGACATCTGAAAACTGGAGAGTGTTGAAGTCAGAAAGACTTGCCCACGAGTGATAAACTTTGCTGCTGCTTCTCTTTGAAGATCACTTTTAAAACTGATTTTATTTGCATTTCCTTTGTACTTCAGGCTTCTATAAAGAAATGCTTCATGTCCGATGAAGTACTTCCTGAAGATACTATAACAAGTCAGTACAAGGCCCACGTGCAGAACCATCTTCTGGAGTGCCCATTCTGCAGTGAGACCTTTGAGAAGTCCAGTGACCAGGTGTTGTTTGCCCATATGCTTTGTCATGTCCTGGAATAATTGTGGATTTGTAGCTACTCTATAGTATAGATCAAAATCACTGGATAGGCTTAGTTTGTGCTAAGTTCAATCCGACAAGAGTGAAATGCACCTAGTGCTGGAATTCTGAGCTTCTTGCTTCATGCAGCATGTGAGCAACACACAAATCGGGTCACACATCCACATCCTGAACCTGAATCACCATCATCAATCTCAGGGTTCCTGTCTTGGATATACACTTGTTAAACTACTCTGAAATCCTACCATTAGTAATTCAGGTCCCAGGATTTGCCATGTACCTGTTTATTCAGGTTGGGATCCAAGTGATGGGATGTAGTTTTCTACAGCAGTTTTGTGTTCTTGGCTGATACAGCTCTACTATAATGGTTTTCTTCTTTGTATACAGCACTGTGATTGCTAATCAAAGCCCAGAAACATTTCATGCTCCTTTAGGAGCACACCATCAGTCCTGCTCAGCTGCTGGAGTTCAGAATGAATAAGAAAGTCTGAATAAAGACACTTCTTTCACCATCAGTAACACAGGTGAAGGAGATGTACTTATAGAGAGACCAAGTATCTGGTTTCAGATGTGAAGGTCCAGCAAAGTAGCAGCATGGCTTATCCTGGGGTGAGGCACACACACTGTGCTCTCCATCCATCCATCCCAGGCTGAGAAAAACCTGGAATTTCTGAAACAGAAGGTGGCTGTGCCGTGGAGCCCACGGGAGAGCAGGAGCTGAGTTGTCTCACGGAGGGTAGATGGTCTCTCACTCAGAAACTGGGCATCCTCACTGAAAGGAAATCATGAATTGGGATTACTTCTCTTTTGGTTTTCTAAACCACCTTGATGTAAGAAGGAGAGTCTGTTCTCAATCCAAAACATTGTGATTCACAACGAAGTGCCTTGGGATATGCCAATGCTTTGCACACAGTTTTTCCAGTTCACGTTTGTTTGTGCTTCAGGACTTTCAGTTCATGATTAACAGCTCCTTTTTTTCCCCACACAATCACGAATGGGTGAAGGTTTATTATCCAGCTGTATCCCACTGGTTCCTGCTGGGTATCTCAAGCAATAGAAACCTCTAAACAGTTTTCATAGAGTTCTAAGAATATTGAGAGTAACAAAGACTCCAAAATGTTTTACTGTCTTCATTCTACACAACCTTTTCTTACCAATCTTGATCCAAATCGAGTATCTCTGCTTTGAGATCTACTGTACTGGTAAGCGTTAACCACAACCAAGAATAAAAGCTGTACAAAGAGAGTCTTTGAAAAGGATGTGTATGTCTGTTCCTTCTTAAAGAAATACTTTGGAGGAGTGGAGGGGGTCTTAAGGGAGCTGTTTGCAGCCTTTCAATTGCTTGGTGAAGCTTCTGTGTAACAAAGTACTTGAGCACCTGTGGAAGAGACACAAACGGGAGTTTTACTAAAACACCCAAATGCCTGTTCCCAAACCTCTTCCCTCTCTACACTCTTGCTACAACTGGATCCTAAACCCCAAAGGCAGTCACCTGAGGTTAGAGCTCCGTGGTGATGCCACCCGTATCCTGGATCTACTCGTGCCGAGCGTCGGTGCCCCCGAATTGCCTCCCCGTCCCTTTCCCACTGCATTTCCCGCTTGCCTGCTCCTGTGTTGCCTGCAGACCTCGGTGCCTGCACTGAGGCGGTGGCGCCGGGACACAGGCAGCACCCGGCTGACCGGCAGAGGGGGTCAGACTGCAATAAATCTCCGGAGGATGGTGGCTGTTGGGAGCGGTTTAAGGTCTGTTATTTTCCTGTAATAACACCACAGAGTCAGACTTCGGCCTGATGCGGGTCATCCCTTCCCCATCCTGGGCAGCCAGGGACCAATTCACCCCTAAGCACAAGTTACAGTCGATATTTTCTGGCCATGTTTTCATTTCGCTTGTAATTTACACCATTATTTATGTTACTGCTGCATTTAGCCTTTGGAATCAAAAGAGGTTTCAATCCTATGTCCATTGTATGGTTTAATATCGAAGTAGCTCAAATGGCTGATAATTAGGTATAGTTATGCTTTGGATGAGATCCAATATTACATTGATATGTATTGAACAAGGACCTTGAAATACATTTTCAAAAGGGACAGGAGGGATTTGGCACAATTTATACCCAAATTCATGTAGCATCTGAATGGGCATTCATTAGAAATGTATCCTAATGGAAGAAGTCATACTTTGTAGGGGAGATCTCTGCAAATATAGGTATTTTAAACCCTTATAGGGCTCATCAGTTTGGTCCAGCTCAGGAACTGGTCCAGGCTGCTTTCCACCACAGCCACTGCTCCAGTGCAGTGAAACTGCCTCAGAAAGCTCTGCTCCCTTTCCTTGGTCCTTTTGTTTCTCCCTCATTTTTGGCAGCCCCTTCGCCTTCCTTTCGCAAGAAGCTGGTTCTTCCTTTGGGTTTTCCACAGAGTGTATTTTGGATATACCTGTTCCTGCCCAGGGCACATTGTTTTCCAATCAGCAGGAATGTTTTCTGTACATGTAAAATGCAAATCAGATGGTAACTTCTCTCAGCTGCCAACTGTGGTCCCAGAGGGCATCACATACTGCCTGATGGCAGCTCATTTCAGAGGCAAGACCATTGTTGTGCCTGGGAAAAGTTCTTTTTGATGCAGAGAAAAGAGACTGGCCACAAAGGAAACGGTTACAGATCCCAGATTCCCAACCTATGTCTGTGCTGAGAGCCAGAGAATCTCAATGGAGGCTGAAATAAATGACCACTGGCTCTGCTTCTTCCAGGAAGCGATTCCCAATCGTACAAGCACAGTCCCCTTCCTCACTTGAACAGCCTCTCTCCTCCACCCATTCTCCTCCTGGCTCCTCGTTGTCTATCCATGTCTTTCCTCTTTCTGCAGATCAATTTGGACCTTCAGCACAGTCAATCTCCTCCAGAAGCACCATGCTAGGGCTTGGGTGTGTGCTTGGAGGAGGCAGAGCCATGGAGCACGGCCCATCTCCTGCAGAACATGGTCTGGGAGAGCTGCTGCTGCTCTTCACTGTAATGGGGAAGCCAAAAGGGAACTAAAAGATTCCTGGCTAAAAGGAAGGTAAATAGACAAGCTGCAGGTGAACAAAGGAGGGAAAGGAAAGCCCTGTACAAGCCAGCAACTGAGTGGTGCTACTGGGTAATCAAGTTGTCAGTTTGATTTTAAGACACAGCAGAAGAGATCGATAATTCTTTCCAGCAGCATAATGCACATCGAGGGCTTAGAGTGTTTTGCTCGTGGAGGTCCTTATTACAGGGATCAGCCCAATGCTGACTCAGCAAGTGGAGTATTTTTTTAAGAGAGCAGGGAAAGGTGGAGAAAAGTGTCCTAAAATGCCACTTGGCCAGACTGCTCAGAAAGACATGGGGAAGGGAGTGCTCACAGACCCCTGTGGGACTGAAAAGTGACAACACGACCCATAGGCAGGGGGGGTTGTCAATGGCCTTATTTCCTGAGGAGGCATTGTTCATCTTTGTTGTGCTGCGGAGATCCAGACCCAGGGATTCCTGCTCGCACAGGAGTCAATGAGCCCCTTTATCTCTAGTGCACTTGGGCAAATAGAGAGTGCTCAGTGGGTATATAACAGCCCGAAATCCAAACGCTGCCATTTATCACCCGCTTTGTACTGAATTAAATCACTACATGAAATGCACTGAAGAATTGAACCTTTATTGTTTCGGCGGTGAAAGGATCGGGTCCCAGAATTACATCAGTTGTTTTCTCTAAACAGCTATTAGCCTCCTCCATTATACCAACAGAACTGGTTTCCATCCTCTGGCTCATTTATTCCAAACCAGCATTATTGAAGTGAATGGGGTCTAGGCCCTGGATATTAGAAGAGCTGTTGGTCTACTCATAAATAACAAGTTGTCAAGGATTTTAATGGAAACCCTCAGAGTGCTGTAAATCTGTGCAGTTCTGCCTGCATCCCCTCCCTCATTTCCATCACAATATCACTCCGGTGGGACTGCAGCGTGCAGCATGTGCCAGGCAGCCTAGATTGGTGGGACATGGGGGAAAGAGGGGGGCAATGAAGCTGGAGATGGGCTGGGGGGGACAGAACAGTTGGCACTGCAGAAGCATCTGCTGGGTGGCCGGGTTTGGAGTCACCTGGCTTATTCAGCGTGGAGAGGGGAAAGGGTTATTCATCTAGGGGGGCTGGAGAGGGGAGGAACAGAACCAGGATGCTTGTGGAATAAAGAGGGATGTATTGCAGTTTACATGGCGCTCCGTTGGTCTGTGAAGCAGTAAATCTCAGCAATAGAGGGGTTTGTTAGGTTTTGATCACATTTTAAGTTCTGCATAGACCGTCTCTTGTTGTTAGGCAAAGATTTTCCTTTTCAAGATGATTATTTCAACCTTCCTAGCCTGTCCAAACTACCTTTAGGGAGCACTGGACACCACGTCCTGATCCAAACAGCAATGTTTCTGCAGCTCACTGGATCTGGCCAGAAACTGGGTTACTACAAATATGCCCCTTGACTCAGTCGCCCCCCAACTCATAACACAGCACCGTGCCATAGGCAACACTAAACCCTTTTAGGAAAGAACTTGAGCTCACTCATCCACCCTCTGCTGGCTGTATATTATGGGATATATTGTGATCAGCACTGCCATGCTTGTGCCATCCCAGTTGGGAAGCAAGACAGGACTGTGCAGGGTTTAAGAGACTGTGTGGACTCTGCCTTCTGAGCCACCAGAGCTCATTAAAACTCGTGTCCAGGATCAGTTTAGGCTTAAATGGAGGCTTGGACCCTGGCTTAGCATGGAATAGAAGTAAAAAATCACATTGGTGACAGAGCTTCTACCAGCTTCGGAGCACCAGGGCTTGTAAGTCTTATATAAATACTGGTCTGGCACTGAGAGCCTCAAATACAGCAAAGCCATCAGCAACACGGATCCAAAATTAATGATGTTAAACATAGTTCCTTTCACATTACACCCTCATGTGACAAGCTCCGAAGAATGAGGCCTTACAAGACTTATGTTCTAATTATATATCGCCCCT